TACAGCTTTCTTTCTGAATTACTGCCTCAACATGACCCACAAAACATTAAAAGGTTGAAAACTTTCACATTCCCAGAGTTTAAAAATACGTTGTCAGCAGCTGTGGTTGACTTGTCAGCAGTTACAGATTGAGGGGAAATAAATCTGACTGATGACATGTGTGAATGTCTCTCTACCCTTGTAAAAAAAAGTGCTTAATTGTATTGAATGTGCACTTGTAGTGCAAAAAAGCATATATTTTAAAAAAAGTACTTGCAGATAACATTAATGTAATAAAAGGCCATTTAAGTGTACTTAAGTGTCACTTTAATGACTGTTTCTTTAAAACACTTTAAAAAAGTGTTAAAGAGTTTTAGAGTTTAACTTTAAATGTTCTTTTTTTAAATTATGTTTTAATAATCTTTAGTCAAGTTCATTTATTTTGATGTGTTGATTACTAAAGCATGTTAAGTACTGCTATTATGGACTGCTATCTTGGCCAGAAGCAATGGTTTGAAATGAAAAAACCTTAATAATGGATTTGCTTCTTACAAACACAGCTTTTCACTTTTCATTATTGTGATGTTTTCATCAGCTTTTTGGACTCTCATTCTGACGGCACCCATTCACTGCAAAGGATGTAATGCTAAATTTCTCTAAATCTATTCCACTGAACAAACAAACTCATGTTGAATGGCCTGATGGTAAGCATATTTTCAGCAAATTATTCAACAATTAAATGCCTAAAAACATTACATTCAATTCACATTTAAGAATATTTTTTGAAAGTATATTTCCATAACAAGTAGGCTACTCTTTTTGAAAGTATGCAAAAGCAATGCAATGCAAAAAAAAAACCTTGTCACAAGGGTATGTAAGAAAGTGCATACATTTAAATGACCCACCTTCGACAAACACCTTCTTCCAGAAGATTCTGCCCACATGGATCCCACCCAGAAAAAACAGATTGGACAGAATCAGAAAAGCAGTGGAGAGGGCGGAGATAAGCGCTAGGCCACGCCTCTGCATCCGAGGTGACAGACAACGCACCTAAGACGAGATCAAAAGAGCATGGTATTTATTAGTGACTTTACTTATACTATAAACACTGAACTTTGTTTAAAGCTGATAACTTGAGAGGGATTGTGTGAACTCACAATAACGTGATGAAGAGGACGAGAGGAAAAGAGGAGTGCGAGAACGTTCTCCACCAACACCCCAACCCAGTTTAGCACGGCCCAGTACTGCAGATAGTCATGGCAACCATGCCAGAAACACACAAACCCAAACGCCAGCGCTGTGGAGACGATTTTCCAGAACACACCATGATGAGAGCCGCCCAATGGCACATATATGTACCTAAAAACACACAAACACACATGCAAACTACTGAAAAATTGTGTTGAAAACAAGAGTTGCTGTTTTCTTTTAAAGACTTGTTTGACAATTAACAATCAAAAATTATTTTAATATTGAGGGAATGATAGTTTGCATCCTCCAAACAACCTTTTTGCATTTTTACAACTACATTATTTAAAGGTGTCATGAACGGCCTTTTTTCATTATTTTGTA